CGGGCGGGGGCGGCGCGCGGGGACCGAGGCCCTGCCCCCCGCCCCCCTCCGTCGCCTCCCGGGCCCCGCGCAGCCGGGGGTGGGGACCAGGCCGCCGGCGCCGCCTCCTCGCCCGGGGAGGAGGAGCTGAGCGCGGCTCCCATTTTCCGCATTGTCCCGGGAGTGCGTCCCCGCGTCCGCCCGCCGCCTTCCTCGTGGCTCCCCGGGCCCCCGGACCCCCCGCTCGGCGAGCCCGCCCGGCGCCTGCCTTCCGGGGGAGGACGAACCAGGGAGTCCCGACCCCGGCGTCCCGGGAGGGACACCCGCCCCCGCCCCCGCCCCGGCGACTCCCGCCCCCGCGGCTCCCGCGCGGTGACCTCATTCCCGGCGCTCCGAGGTGAGGCGGGTGCAGCCGGAGCCGGAGGCCCGCGGAGGGCAGAGCTGCCCGCCGCTCCCCGGGGTCCGCAGGCATCCGCACCACGCGCGGGGCGTCCGTCGGGTTTTAAGACACGGCCTGGGCCGCCCCGCGACGCTCGAGCTCGGAGTCCTAGAAACTTTTTAGTGCCCGTGACGCTCCACGGTCACGGCCTTCTTCCCAGTTAGCACACCTCTTCCGTGGCCGAGGGCCCTCCTCCCTGCCGTGGCCCGGAGAGCTGCAGCCTGTCGCCCGGGGCGGGGGGGGGGGGGGGGTCCTAAGGCTGCCGCTGAGAAACGTTAGCGCAAGTCGGTCACCGGGACGCGAATCGCCCTGCAGAGCGAGGGCGGAGAATCTGGTTCATGGGCACACAGCCCGCAGCTGGCTCCGGGGGCCCGTGACTCACCCTGTCCTCGCCGAGTTCACGCACTGGAAGCCCGCTTCTCCCCGGTAGGCCCGAGACACCGGCAGCCCTTCTCCCGCCCGCGGCACCTGTGCCTGCAGCGGACGCCCGGCCCTGCGTCCTGCTGCCTCCTTGAAGCTCCAGCCTGCGGGGACTCTGCCTGGCCACGCGGCCAGCTCTCTCCTCACGGTGAAAGGGTTAGGCCGGAAGAAGGGAAATAAAAGCCAGGGTTTGGAATTAGATTTCCTGTGCATCTTCAATGCATTACAGCAGAAATCCAGAAGGGGGGAAACAATCAGGAGCCAAGGCCTAGTGCCCTGGTGAACCGGGCCTGCCTCCCCCGCCCCCCAGAGTTGGGAAGATGGGAGCACCGGGGGGATGACACACGCATTGGATACATTTTCTGGTTTTTTAAGAATAAAAGTTTTATTTCAGAGAGAAGCACAAAGCCACCACTGTCTCCAGCAACCCAGGGCTTTGCCAGGACTCAAGGACCTTCGAGAGGGAAACAAAATGGCATTAGCTCTGGATGAAGAGGCGTCTGCAGGGGCCCCAGCAGCTCCGCCCCTGCGGCACCCAGGCTTGGGCTCGCTGTCACCTTCCGCACAATCTCCTTCCCTCTCAGGCCCTGTTCCTCCTATTAAGTCAGCCCCAGGCCCGAGCCCGCCCCTCCCCCATCCCATCATCCCCAGCGGGACTCGGTTTACCTCCTGGAGTCCCGCCTTCAGCCGCTGAAAAGTGTGAGGCTGCATCACTGACCCTCCTCTATCCTCACGTACCCTCCCGTTCACTCCACGCATCGTGACCGAGCGCCCACAGGGTGCCAGATGCAGCCCCGAGCGCCGAGATCCTGTCCTGTCTTGGGGTGTCCACGTCTGTCCTGTAGCTCAAGTCACAAAGCCCCGCTAAGGTGATGCTCTCCAACTCAGGGTGGACTCTCGCCGCGGCCGATAGAGCCCATCCCTCCCCTGTGGGCTCCTCGGCCCGACACCCGTCCTTCCCAGTTCTCTCCAGGCTACGGGGATCTCCAGCTCCGGGCAAATGTGCAGGGAAATGACTGGGGTCCAGCTCGAAATGCCTTCTCCTTTTACACCTCCTCTCTGCATCCGCTCCCCTCCAGAGCTCACGTTTTTAATTTCATCCCAAGCACTCATTCCTCCTCTTCCTGCAAAGTACACTCACTGCTGCGTGCAACGAAGAGCCAAGGACCCCTTTCCTTCCCTTCACCACCACCAACTTGAAATAATAGTTCTCGTCCTTCTTCACCTCTACTGGTGAGGGTCTACTCTCAGATTCGTAAGATCTGGCCTCTACGTCCTTCTATCGTTGTATGAAATCGCTTTCTCAAGGACCGCAGGGACTAAATAACCAATGTCCAGTTTCAAATTTTATTTATTTACTTATTTCAGAGAAAGCGAGAGTTGGAGGGAGGGGGAGACAGAGAGAATCTCAAGCGGGCTCAATGCTCAGCAGGGAACCCGACACAGGGCTGATCCCATGACCCTGGGATCATGACCTGAGCCGAAATGACGAGTCAGACGCTTAACTGACTGAGCCACCCAGGCGCCCCACCAATGTTCAGTTTTAACGTGGGTTCAGTGTCCTTCCTTGACAGCTCCTGCCCCCTTCCAGGACTCTGGGCCGCAGTACAGCCGTACCGTTGAAATGGTTGAGTGTCTCAAGCTAGTGAGACCTGGCACAGGCCTCCAGTGGGGGCAGAATCAAAGGTGGGGTTTAAACAGAAATTAAGACTCTGGGACACCAAACCGCAGACTTCCAGGTGTCATTAGTTATCTGTTGCTGCGTAACAAAGTGTCCCCAAACGTAGAGGCTTTGAACAACAGGAACCGTTATTACACGGTTTCTGTGAGTCAGGAGTTCAGGAGTGGCTTAGCTGGTGGTTTGCCTCACGGTCTCTCATGACACTGCAGGCACCGTGGGTCAGGCCTGCAGTCGCCTGAAGGCGACGGCCAAGACGGTTGACTCGCATGGCTGGCAAGCTTGTTCTTCATCACGGAGGTCTCCACAGGGCTGCTCGTCTGTCCCCAAGACATGGTGGCCGTCTCCCTCCAGAATGAGCCATCAGACAGCAGAAGGCAGAAAGGGTGCAATGTCTTCAAACACCACAGCTTGGAGAGCAGGCAATGTCATCCCCGCGTCACCCCTTTGGTCACAGCGGTCAGCTCTATCTAGTGTGGGATGGGACCCCACACAGGCATGGACACCTGGGGGCAAGGTTGCTCGGGGGCCCTTCGGAGACTCCGGGGGGAACGTGGCTTATATGACTACCTAATTAGTGGCTTTCACATGGTTTCTTTCTCTTTTTTTTTAACCAGAACCGTTTTCTCAAAAACCCTCCTATTAAAATTACACTTCATGTCCAAATAAAAATGGAGATGCTTATGTAAGTGCACAGAGGTGTGGGCATTAACACTTTCAGTAACAGGTCTCCCAGCGAAATTTGGGGAACATTTAAATGCCCCCAAGTGATGAAAGGCTGCTTACATCAACGACAGAATGCCATGCGATGGGACACTTAGCACCTCTTGGAAAATTGAGTATATTTATTTGTATCGACACGGAAAGGTTCACTGTTACATTTTTTAAAAAGCCAACTGCAAAATACTACTTATAGTGTGATTCTATTTTTATTAAAAAAATATGCACATACATACTTTTATAGTCATGGATCATTTCTGGAAGGTTGCTAACATGGTTTTCCTAATGGGAATGAGGAATGTGTAGGTCAGGGAAGGGATCAAGAGATTTCAATTTTTAACTTTACACCATTTAATATTTTTAAAAGCGATTTCAACCAATTTATGAATCATTTTTTTCACTGAGACACAATTCATATACCATAACCGTTACCACTTTGAAGTGTGCAATTCAGAGGTTTTAGCGTAGTGACAGCGTTATGCAACCATCACCACTATCTAATTCCAAAATAGGATAGATTGCTTTGAGAATAGATATTTCATTTTATTTTTAAAGTTTATTTATTTATTTTGAGGGAGAGAGAAAACATGGGCAGGGGAGGGGCGGAGAGAGAGAGGGAGAGAGAGAATCCAAACAGCACGGATCCCAACTCGGGGCTTGATCCCATGAACCATGATATCATAACTTGAACCAAAATCAAGAGTTGGACACTTGGGATGCACGCCTGGGTGGCTCAGTCGTTTAAGCGTCCGACTTTGGCTCAGGTCGTGATCTTGCAGTCCATGAGTTGGAGCCCCGCGTCAGCCTCTGTGCTGACAGCTCAGAGCCTGGCGCCTGCTTCAGATTCGGTGTCTCCCTCTCTCTCTGCCCCTCCCTGCTGACGTTCTGTCTCTGTCTGTCTCTCTCTCTCTCAAAAATAAAGATTAAAAAAAATTAAACAAAATAAAGAGTTGGACACTCAACCAGCTAAGCCACCCAGGAACCCCAGATAAGAGATACTTGAGAAGTGAAATAGGAAAGCTGACTTAGAGTGCTATTTTTCAGTGTCCAAGCTTGCTTTGATGGACAGGTCACTGAAAGGGACTGCCCATGGGAGGGCAGTGGTCATTGCCCTACTAGGACCAGCCCCTCCCACATCCCAGTACTTTTGAAACTTCTTCTGGATCCTCTGTGACTATGCCCCACTGAACCCCTCCTTTTGGAAGTGCTCACATTGTGGGTTTCATTTGCCAGGCACCTTGCTGATTCTGGATTTCTCTCCACCTGCCTTCACCTCCTCCGTTCCTGATGGTCACAGTCAGTGATTTTCTTTTTTAATTTTATTTATTTTTGAAGGAGAGAAAGACAGAGCATGAGCG